CGGTTTGCTAGAAATTAATAAAAATCACAGAAATTCTAACAAAAAAAAGAATTTCTTAGTGATAATTTGTTTTCTATATTCTTAGTGATAATTGTATACCATCCTATAAAAAGAATCCAAAATATGGTAAATACCTGACACAACCATGGCTCGAACCATCTCAGGGTACTCCTCAGCGATCTTGAAAGCCACCATGCCACCATAACTAAACCCTACGAGGAAAAAATTATCCACGCCGAGGATATGAAGAGACTTGACCAAACAGTGGGCTTGAAACGCTGGAGACCGGTCCGGTTTATCAGAGTAGGACCCACCGAAGAAGAGAAGGTCCGGTATATAGACTGAATACTTCTTGGCTAAAGATCTCACTTGGAACTGCCACGTCACTATTCCTTCGGCTGCAAAGCCGTGGATGAACAAGATGGCTGGTTTTGTAGGTTTTTTGGGTTCCACGGAAGAGTTTTTGTCAGATTTTTTGGGTTTTTTAAGGGTTTCTTTGGGGATCCAGAAGTTCATCTTTGTCCCTGGTTCGATCTCTATGGTGTACGGAACAACGCCGGCTAGTTTCATGAGACCGTACAACAACGGTTTTGGTGACTCCACCAAGTTCACCATTGTGTAACTAATTTTTTTTACTCCTTTTGATATGTTTGGACTTTGGAGGGAGAGAGATGTTTGAAGATGGAATTCGCAAATGGAAGTGTATAGATTTAAAACTTTTGAATTAGGATTAATTATAATGTATTTGGTGTTGGGTTCTTATTTAAATTCATCCAACCATTTCTTATCTTACATTTTAGATTTACCTTGTCAGGCTAGTTTTGATTGATAACTTGCAAAATAGCAAAAGAATCCGTTTTGATTAATAGTACCTCATATGATGGTTTTATTCAACACTTAATTGGGGGTGGATCTTACTTGCTTGTACGAAACCTCTAAATACAGTCCAAAGTTGGAGATCTACATTTCCAACTCTGTTCGGTATGTTGCACTTTATTTACTCAGTACTTTTTGTTGGCAAATATAGCAAAGATTAAGACTACTTTTCAAAAAAAAAAAAGAGACATATACTTTGCTATATTCACATTTTTTAATGTTTTAAATTAACAATTGATGTGACAAAAAAAAAAAAATTAACAATTGATAGTTTTATGAATCATCATAGATATATCATTTTTTCAATTGCGTAATAATAATAATGGATCTATGCTATATTCACATTAATTTAAAGTCTTGGCACATTATTAATATTGATAAACATGTTTTCACACTTATATAATGACACTTGAACGTCAACATATATTTTGATAATCCTATCCTGTGGCTAAAGATTTCCGATATTCAAGAGCCCTACGATTCAACTCTTGTGTGCGACATATATACGTACTACGTAGAGGCAAAATAATTGTATCAAAAGTGAGCGATATTCTTCAAATATTCTGTTTTTTTTTTCAAGTTGATTTTTATTGGCATTCCATATATTGTCTCTACATATATAAATATGGAAGGAATTAAAATTACTGAAACATCAAATTTTTATATATTATTAAATATCCATGATACATGATACAATATGGGTATCATTAAATATAAAATTATTAAAAACACATTATCTCTTTCTTTTACTTAACTTTATACCTTCTCTTTCATCCTTTTACTCAACTTTTATTAATTTTATACTCTCTTTAAATATAAAATTATTAAAAACATACTCTTTCTCTCTTCAAAAATACCCACTATCTCTTCTCTTTACTCAAATTTTATTAATTTTATATTTCAATACACCCCATTATTTCAACAAAAAACACTCTCTTTCTTCCTTTTACTCAAATTTTAATAATTTTATATTTAATGATACCCACATTGTATCATTGTTAATGATGCTCTAACACCATATAGAACTTTTACTTTTTCTTTTCATTTTTTCCGGAGGAGTTCATCAGAATTCACTTATTCTGCTATTATCATCAGAATTCACTACAACAAAAATAATTGCGGTTAAGCTTTAGTCTTAAAAAAAATTCCTACTATCTTCATATATATCGAATAACATCTGAAACATAATTGTTCAACAGCTAAAATTTTACATTCTTTTTTGTAGATTAATAATGGATATCCGATCGTCGATTTCTCAAATCTGATTCTTTGAGTCAACACCAGCTATTTCCAAGGGAGAATAGATCTTTGGTACGTAACTACGTATAAGTTTCTCGCAAGGCCAAGTAGCCAAAACGAATTAAAGACTTGGACGAAGTCCACGTCCATACCTCCTACGATTTATATATCCTCAATTGGTTTTCTGAAAATATTTTATTATGATGATTTATTGAGCGACGCAATTGACGATTACGCACATTTACTATATAGATTAATTACTACTCGATGATTAATGAATCCCTTTTGGACGCAACCATAACCTCCAACGCATAAGTAGCAAACACGTCATTGTTATAGTCATAGTTTGTACCTAAACGATTATTAATTTACTATACACAAACCCAAAATGACAAGACATGTATATAACCTAACTACCTAGACCAAAATAATATATATTTATTCAAAAAAATCATACCAAAATATTGAAGTTTACATTTACATTTGTAGTTACTTTCACTCCATCACAATCCACACCAACATCAAATAATTCTCTAAATTTAAATAAAATCAGTCCCTAATTCAACTTATATATAAGCCCTTCGTCCTCACTCTACATATATAGCA